AGAGTCTGAGAGTAAGAGTTTAAATTTCATTTAAAGTTGTATCAGAATGTAGTCGTCTTAAAAGCAGATTCAACAATATATCCTTAGGGTGCTCATTAAAGAAGAGAAAATGTGGTTTATATATTACTATACTTTCTCATTGTTTCTCTTTTCTATATTTTGAAGGACACTCCACTCTTTGAGGCTGCAAGAAATGGTCACACTGATATTGTAAGGTTGCTCATAGAGAACGGAGCTGATGTCAACAAAAGAGGATCGGTACGTTAGAAGGATAAATTGTATATGTTATAAAGAGTAAAGTCATCAACAAAGGATGGGTACGTTAAAGGGATAAATTGTATATGTTATGAAAAGTAAAGTCAGAGTCTCAGAGTACGAGTTTAAATTTCATTTAAATTTGTATCAGAATATAGTCGTTTTAAAAGCAGATTCAAGCATATATCCTTAGGGTGGTCATTAAAGAAGAGAAAATGCGGTTTATATATTACTATACTTTCTTATTGTTTATCTTTTCTAGTTTCGTGAGGGCACTCCGCTCTCTGAGGCTGCAACAAACGGTAACACTGATATTGTAAGGTTGCTCATAGAGAATGGAGCTGATGTGAACGAAGGAGAACGGGTACGTTAGAAGGATAAATTGTATATGCCATAAAGAGCGAAGTCAGAGTCTGAAAGTAAGAGTTTAAATTTCGTCTTTAAAGCAGGTTCAATCATTTATCTTTAGGGTGGTCACTAAAGAAGAGAAAATGCGGTTTATGTATTATTATACTTTCTCATTGTTTTTCTTTTCTATATTTTGAAGAACACTCTATTCAGTAGGGCTGCAAGAAATGGTCACACTGATATTGTAAGGCTGCTCATAGAAAACGGAGCTGATGTCAACAAAGGAGGACGGGTACGTTAAAAGGATAAATTGTATATGTTATAAAGAGTAAAGTCAGAGTCTGAGAGTAAGAGTTTAAATTTCATTTAAATTTGTTTCAGAATGTGGTCGTCTTACAAGCAGATTCAAGCATATATCCTTAGGGTGGTCATTAAAGAAGAGAAAATGCAGCTTATATATTACTTTACTCTCTCACTGTTTTTCTTTTCAATGTTTTAAAGAACACTCCACTCACCGAGGCTGCAAGAAATGGTCACACTGATATTGTAAGGTTGCTCATAGAGAGAGGAGCTGATGTCAACAAAGTAGAAAAGGTACGTTATAAGGATAAATTGTACATGTTAAAAAGAGTAAAGTCAGAGTCTGAGAGTAAAAGTTTAAATTTCATTTAAATTTGTATATCAATGTGTTCGTCTGAATAGCAGATTCAACCATATATCCTTAGGGTGATCAATAAAAAAGAGAAAATGCGGTTTATATATTACTATACTTTCTCATTGTTTTTCTTTTCTAGTTTCTTCAGGGCACTCCGCTCTCTGAGGCTGCAAGACATGGTCACACTGATATTGTAAAGATGCTCATAGAGAACGGAGTTGATGTCAACAAAGGATGGGTACGTTAGAAGCCGTCTTAAAAGCAGATTCAACCATATATCCTTAGGGTGGTCATTAAGGAAGAGAAAATGCGGTTTATATATTACTATACTTTTTCTTTGTTTCTCTTTTCTATATTTTAAAGAACACTCCACTGTGTGAGGCTGCAAGAAATGGTCACAGTGATATTGGAAGGTTGCTTATAGAGAACGGAGCTGATGTCAACAAAGCAGCACAGGTACGGAAGAGAAGAAGGATAATTTAGAATGATAAATTGAATATGTTATATTATAGTGAGAGTCTGAGAGTAAGAGTCTAAATTTCATTTAAATTTGTATATGAATGTGGTCGTCTTAATAGCAGATTCAACCATATACCCTTAGGGTGGTCATTAAAGAAGAGAAAATGCAGTTTATATATTACTATACTTTCTCATTGTTTTTCTTTTCTAGTTTTGTGAGGGAAACTCCGCTCTCTGAGGCTGCAAGAAATGGTCACACTGATATTGTAAAGTTGCTCATAGAGAACAGAGTTGATGTCAGCAAAGGATGGGTACGTTAGAAGTCGTCTTAAAAGCAGATTCAACCATATATCCTTATAGTGGTCATTAAAGTAGAGAAAATGCGGTTCATTTATTACTATAATTTCTCATTGTTTCTCTTTTCTATATTTTAAAGAAGACTCCACTGTGTGAGGCTGCAAGAAATGGTCACACTGATATTGTAAGGTTGCTCATAGAGAACAAAGGATGGGTACGTTAAGGGGATAAGTTGTATATGTTATGAAAAGTAAAGTCAGAGTCAACAAAGCAGGACAGGTACGGAAGAGAAGAAGGATAATTTAGAAGGATAAATTGTATATGTTATAACAGTAAAGTGAGAGTCTGAGAGTAAGAGTTTAAATTTCATTTAAATTTGTATCAGAATGTAGTCGTCTTAAAAGCAGATTCAACCATATATCATTAGGGTGGTCATTAAAGAAGAGAAAATGCGGTTTATATATTATTATACTTTCTCGTTGTTTTTCTTTTCTATATTTTGAAGAAAACTCCACTCAGTGGGACTGCAAGAAATGGTCACACTGATATTGTAAGGTTGCTCATAGAGAACGGAGCTGATATCAACAAAGGAGGACGGGTACGTTAGAAGGATAAATTGTATATGTTATAAAGAGTAAAGTCAGAGTCTGAGAGTAAGACTTTAAATTTCATTTAAATTTGTATCAGAATATAGTCGTCTTTAAAGCAGATTCAACCATATATCCTTAGGGTGGTCAATAAAGAAGAGGAAATGCAGTATATTACTGTACTTTCTCATTGTTATTTCTTTGCAATATTTTGAAGGCCACTCCACTCTTTGAGGCTGTAAGAAATTGTCACACTGATATTGTAAGGTTGCTTAAAGAAAACGGAGCTGAATTCAACAAAACATTATGGGTACGTTAGAAGGATTAATTGTATATGTTATAAAGAGTAAAGTCAGAGTCTGAGAGTAAGAGTTTAAATTTCGTCTTTAAAGCAGGTTCAACCATTTATCCTTAGGGTGGTCATTAAAGAAGAGAAAATGCTGTGTATATATTACTGTTCTCTCCATTTGTCATTGTGTTTTTCTATCCAGTTTTTTTTAAAGGTGAAGGATTTCGTAACAAATGTCTCTTTTTAACAATAGCTTTAGGAAATGAACACATATTTAGCATGGTAAACCTCCTCTAAGTTCAGTTTTCATTCTTCAGCTTTAATTTGTTTCACGTTTCAAATTTGGGAATCAAACTATCTTTAACTCTAAAGCTAATTTGTCGCTTGAAAAGTAACTCCTCCGGTTTTTTTCAAATCGAGTATCACTTAAGAGCTAATGTCAGCATGCATCAAACAAACAGCGGTAAGTCACCCAAATTTGTTTTCCCTCCTACTTTCATATTTTGTAGCCCAATATGTTCTAATAATTGTGGTGTAGTTTTTTTGTGAAAATATATTTTAGTTTTCGAGAAATGACTTTTTTCGTTCGACCGCTCAAATATGCAAATTTTCACCGTGAAATTACCCGAGTTGTGTGACCTCATGTAACGAATGTACAAGACCTACGGTAATTCTTTGAAAATAATCCTTTGTTTTATCATCTGGACTTAATCCCCTGTCGTTATTGAAGCTGGAAAAGAAATATTTATTTTTTGGTGAATATTTTTGTCCGAGATACTTTTCCTATGTCGAAAAGTAGCATCAAACAGAGACAGTTTTAACAATGACCGATATGAGCTTCAAGCTTTTATAAGACAAATGGATGGTTATTATGTTACTGTAAAAATTTCCTTGTGTATTTGTGTTGTTCTATCTTGAGACGAACTCAAAGTCCGGCAAAATTTACTTGATAGCGACTATGAAATGTACATGGTGCACCTACTTGTCGCCACCGTTAACTGGCATAAATCACTACAATTTGCAAAAAAATCTAACATAACACTCTTACCTTGTTTTTTTATGATTTTGTCAGCTGTTTTGATGATCACGTTAATTATGCTCCACCACATTCTAGCCAGATTTGAGTTCCAGTTTATATATCTTCTCTAACTTATTATATCAGTTGCGTGACAAGCGTGACACAGAAATTCAAAGATGAATCAACCTCCGAAATACCAAGAGATGGGTTTTTTTTCCTCTTTGCATGACATCTAGAAAAACCTTTCAGGAATTACTGCATTCAGAAAACTAAAATGTCCAGATCCATCGCCGGCTGAAGTCAAAGTATGATAACAGTAGTCAATTTGATTGACAAGCTACATACTGATTTAGCTAACTGATCTGTTTTATAAGCGTCTCATCTTACATGCTAACATGGAGATTACTTATTAGTTAAATCGTTCGCTGGTGGAACTTGTGGGTTTAGTTATCGAGAAGACCAAGTCGTTCCCTTGCGTGATTGTTAAAAAGACATTTCAAGTCACTTGCGGAGTTGCAAGTTTTCAGATCCAGGAAATGAAGTTGATCTTGTTTTGCCGCGTGCCGGCATCTTCGAGACGCCAAAAGATATCGATGATTTTACAAATTGCCCCACTCACAGATCAAATCTCGGTGTTGGGTGGAATCGTGGTTCCAATATCAGATGTAGGGTGCCAAAAGAACTGTCCGGCCATGGTAAAGGTAGGGTTAAGTCGTTTCCAAAAGCTGATAGGGGAATTGGCAAGCGTGTATCACAGATAGTACTCAAGATGTCTGGAAAATTCGTACAATCTGGCTTTGGTAAGTAGGCTACTTACCACCGTGAGCAAAATTACGCGTGACGTCAGAGTTAAGTTTCGATTGGGAATTGGTCAATAGGCTATCAAAAATTCAGACAGAGCCTGAGTTTTCTGAACTAATGTCTAAACACTTTGTTGGCTTTCCGCCGTCTGAGGGGACGCGTAATTATGCACACGGTGGTAAAGGGCCCTTCCGCACTAGCAACTAGACGCTGACAGAACATGTTTCTCTTCGCCAAAATCACATCAGAATTTGTCCTTGCTAAATGTCAAGTGTGCTGCACGTATTAGCACCCCCTGGGGACCCCTTTATATAAGAGGGCGGGGGTGCGCGCCCGGAACTTTAAAAACGACCGCTATAAAATTATAAAAGGTGCTTAAGTCTTATCCGTGTTGGAGTGGCAACAATTAGCCTTTAAAAACGAGTGTTTATATCCTTTTCTGTCTTTTTCAATGCTTGCCTCGCTCCTACAGAGGATTCATACAAATATGAGAGCCGTGCCGCGTTTACATTGTACAGGTAGAAAAGGTCGTCCAGAATGAGTGTTTCGTTCTCTGATGAAAACCCCAATAAACTCACTCAGAAATGACTTTTACGCTGGTTATTATGTGGCAACCGGTATGAACTCGTTCTTGTAAAAAACTAATTCGGATATCATGTAAAAGGCCCCTAAAAGTTTTTCTTCCCAGAGCATCACGCTTTGCTCGCCTGTCTGAATACTAAAAATTTCAGTAGCGTTGAAGCAACAACCCAATTTTAACTGCTTCGCTGCCGCTGAAACAACGATTAGTGAAGAAAGTACATATTTTAATATTTTCGATTCAACGTAAACAAAAATCTTTATAAATGGTAAATATTCACTTGTGTCGGTATCAATTATTGCGTGACTAGCTTATGATATAAATGAGGTAGGGGAAAACACAACGCAAAACCTGAGCTCCTGTCAAAAAGTAATACTCAGGCGTAAATTAATAATAGAAACGGCTTATAAAATCATAAATAAACAAGGTAAGAGTGTTACGTTAGACTTTTTTCTACAAATTGTGGTGATTTATTCCAATTGACGGAAGCGACAAGTAGGCGCACCATGTATATTTCATAGTCGCTATCAAGTAAATTTTGCTGGACTCTGAGTTCGTCTCAAGATAGAACAACACAAATACACAAGGAATTTTTTACAGTAACTTTATAACCATCCTTTGGTCTTTTAAAAGCTTGAAGCTCAGTAGATTGTGTCATATCGGTCATTGTTAAAACTGTCTTTGTTTTGATGCTACTTTTCGACATAGGAAAAGTATGTCGGACAAAAATATTCACCAAAAAATAAATATTTCTTTTCCAGCTTCAATAACGACAGGGGATTAAGTTTAGATGATAAAACAAAGGATTATGTTCACAGAAATACCGTAGGTCTAGTACATTCGTTACATGAGGTCACACAACTCATGTAATATTCACGGTGAAAATTTGCATATTACAATTATTATGACATATTGGGCTACAAAATATGAAAGTAGGAGAGAGAACGAATTTTGGGCGACTTGCCACAATATTTCAAATTTGTTCGATGGATGCTGACATCCTTTCTTAAATTATTTGAGTTTTAATTTAAATATTTTAAGCGCTTAAAAGAGTACGCCAGTTAGACCGGAAATGAAAAAGTCGCGGTTTAACTGGACGGGAAGTTTGCATCGACAGGAGCCATGGATAAAAAGAAAGGCAAACCTGGTCACAAAATATTTGAATACCACAGTTTTCTCTAAAGAAGGGCTAAAACTCGTGAATTTCTTGATTTTTAGATGCTTCGAAAAAATTCATGATGACTAAATCTTTGTTTGCTGGACCCTACGGCCAGATAATTGTGTGGTAATGCGCATTTGTGAAAAGAGAAGGATGTGTGGCTACAAACCTTCTAGAATACAGTTGGCTGAAGCCGGGGTAGACTTCCTGGTTTAAATTCACATAATTTGTAGCCCTTGCAGGAAAATAGTTGTGCTTTAAATATCTCTGTCTCGTTCTGTTGTCATTATTTTGAGAATCGTTACTTTCTAGCTTAAGTAGTAGCTCTTCAAATCCTCTCCCTCTCTCTTCAGAAACTGCCATTGCAAGGCTACATTAATTTTAGCTTGTTGAATGAGGCTGTTCAGTGAACTCATGAGTGCTTTTAATTACTTTCTTAGTGGACTATTAACATCGAGTCCCCTGAAGGGCGCCTGCGTAGAAAGTTCGTACCTGGTGCCAGGGTATGTTTGGTTGCTCTTCAGAAGAAGTTTAATTTTGTAGTAGAAATTCTGCATTGGTTAATGACCACCCTACTTTTACATAAACAGATACGTCAAATGGTATATTTCAGGAAACGAACTCCACGTTATGTGCATTTTGTAAACACTCCTGTATTAGTATGAACTTATTCAGCTGAACTTCCTTGTTATTCTTCGTTACATCTCAGATGTGATAATAGGAATGTTTTCTCGCTTCATTCCTCTGGCTGAATTTAAAACGCTCTATTAATTTAAAAGCATTCATTCTTGTGTAGCATGTCAATTGGTTCGTTCCTACTTGTGCTTTGTTCCAAAAGATTAACTATAGCAGGCTGAAAAACAGTGATAACTCCAGTTAGCATCTCAGTAGTCCGGAACCCTAAATCCTCGAATCTGATTGGCTAATTCCGCGCGCTCCAGTGGTCCTAATTTTCCCATTGGGACCCAGGTGCATTTTGCACCTTTCCATCGATTTACGAAAGAGGCTTAACGATGTAAATATTGTCCCAAGTGACTTAGTTATGGATTCAGACAACGAAGGCTGTTAAGCGACGGAAGGAAAACCTACTTCAAGACAAAGAAAACTATCTTGAAACACAAACTGCCGCAGAAATTTCAACATATTTCGCTTTTCGCAGAAAGTTTCAAAAAAAAAATAAAAATGTTATTCATATTTCTGTGTGCTCTGTCTTGAGTACCGCCCTTGGGCACAGTTTTTCCTAATACGGACCTTCCGGTTGGTTAATAACATTTATTGGTTTATCAGATGTGTGTTAAACATTTGGTGTCAGTGTTTATTTGCAGCTCTAAGCTTTGTCATAGTACTGAGAGTGTAAAGCAAAACTTACATTCTTATAACAATAATGATGTGTAAATGGACTGATTGTTGTATTATTTGACGTACTTTCAGTTAACCATTGTTGAGGTATGTTTTTGAGAAAAAAAATGAAAATTTTATTCACCAGCCTAGGTCGGTCTGTATTGGAAAAAACTGTGTGCTCTGTCTTGACTACCGCCCTTGGGCACAGTTTTTCCTAACACGGACCTTCCGGTTGATTAATAACATTTATTGGTTTACCTGATGTGTGATAAACATTTGTTGTCAGTGTTTATTTGCAGCTCTAAGCTTTGTCATAGTACTGAGAGTGTAAAGCAACAACTTACATTCTTATAACAATAATGATGTGTAGCTTTCAGTGCATGGACTGATTGTTGTATTATTTGACTTACTTTCAGGTTACTAAAGAACCATTTGAAAGAGAGTGCGATGTACAGGTATGTTTGGAAGTTATAGCGGTATATTTTTGAAAACATTTTCATAAATAATTTCAAAAATCAGTTGTAGGAACGGAGTGATGTGTCAACCCTTACTTTGAATTTATTTACAGTTACACTTCTGGTATGATGTGTAGTGATTGAATGATAAAGATATTGATGACGTGTTAGAGATACTTGCTGTGTAACAAAACACTTAGTGATTTACCTGCAGCCCAACTTTAACTGAGAGATGGTATCACAAGTTAAATTCATGTCTGGCAGTTTGTACTTGACTGAAAAAAGAAGACGAAGAAGATCAAAATGGACAAACACTTTGAACTAGAAAAAATTCTGCAAATATGTTTTGTAAGGGTGACAAATTGGTGGTAGTAGCGGGGTTCAAAAACTTTGAGCTCGGTAGTGAAAGAGGGAAATAATTTTTTTCGTCGTGAACGTGGAACTTCGAAAAATAAAGGAAAAATTCAGAAGGTAGATTCCTCATGGAAACTTAAAAATAAATGGTTAGGTCAGAGTTTGAAAGTGAAATATTTTATAGCTTTTGAACAAAACGTTGAAAGAAGTCGCAAGCTCTTTCCGTTTCTTTCTTGTTGTTTCTTTGGAAGGGTTATAATACCACCCCAGTCATAAGATGATATGCTTGCGAGCTACTAGGAAACTTGGATAGAAAGCAAGGAAACCTGACCAGAAAATATTTTGAGAGCAAATCTTCATCCAAGAAAGGGATCAATTTCTATAGAAGTGCAAAACGTCTGAATGTCTTGAGTTTATGAGACGCTCTTACGAGATTCACTTTGCTTTAATTGTTGCTTACTAGACTTTAAGACCAGAAAACTGCGTGGCGATGAAAGAAATTTTTTTGGGAAATGAACACATACATAGCATTGCAAAAACTACTTTAAGCATAGTTTTCATTTTCCAGGCATAATTCGTATTTGGTTCAAAATTTGGGAATCGAACCATCGTTAACTCTAAAGCTAAAATTGTCGCTTGAAAAGTGATATGTCCGTTTCTTTCCAAATCTAGTATTACTTAGATTATTTAATTGTCATGTCAATATTTCAAGCGTCGAATAGTGTACTCCATTTGGACCGGAAATAAAAAACTTGCGGTTTAACTGGACAGGAAGTTTGCATGGACAGAAGCCATGGATTAAAAAAAAAATTCAGAAGTTAGATTCCTCATGGAAACTTTTATTTTTTCCACGCACGTGACAAAACGAAAAACATCTCTCTCCAATTAAGGGTTAATGCTGTAGTTTCCTTCGCTTTGTCATTCGCGTTTTTCACCTTTCCTATCGCTTATCCTTTTCACATTACCCTACTTCGACCTCTTTTCTTTTCAGCAAAGTCTACTGAGTGTTATCAATACAACTATGGTTATAACACGATAACATACTTTTACACTTTGCTTCTTGTATACATTATGTACCTTTTTCTCTCCTCGTAGCTTAAAGGGAAGAAGACAGCAAGTTTGCCTAAAATGTCAGGAAAGAAGTTGATAACCCAAACAGAGATGACTTGTCCGAGAGACATCGTTGAAGAAGGCGAGTGTGGAAGAGACCCGATGAAAGATGTTGAGTCTGGCCTCAGCAGTTTACATCTCAGCCCAGGATGTGAACAGTTTTATCCTTGCATTATGGATGAATCGCCTGGTGATTCACGCATCTAAAAATGCTCATTGACAATTTTTTGTGCGGGGTTGTGTAGGAAAAAACCGATCATCGGTGAACAAAGCAGTTGTGATGTAGTGAAAACTTGCATATTACTCATTCTTTTTTTTAGATTAGTGAGTCGGTTATTTTGTTTTTATGGCTGATTTCTTAGTAAAGCAGTAAGCATACCGCAGAGGATTGCTTAAACTGTCTGAATGATTCTAATTTTGAAAATTCATGCACTAACTCACAAGTTGATCGTTTTTGAAAGTTATTAGAATTTTAAAGCAAAACAAACTAATAACTGAGACCGGCAGACGCCAAGGTCACTTTTCGACACTTTAGTGCCCTGGGGCTTTATTGTTGTATTCTGTTTTTTTCGGTTTTTTTTTTTTTCCTTTTTTGTGCCGATCAGATTTCAAGAGAAAGAAGAAATATTTTCTGCGCAAAATATCTCTGTTGTTTGTGGATGGCAACTCAGCCAGTAATGTTATGAACTGCGCTTGCGACATAAATCTGCGCGGTAAAAAAACTCGGCACCTAACTGTAACTCGAACATTTTTATTAAATCTTTTTTGGCGACCAAAGCAAAGGTTTGCATTTAGCAGGCTGTACAGAGAAATACGGTCCGATCAATAGACCAATAATGGCACACGTAGTGACTAAGAGATATAATAATGTGTAGTTATTTCTTGTTCAGAAGAGAAGTAGTTTTAACTTTCAAGTCCGTTTTAAAACATGCAAGATTTTCAGGATTTTTCTCCTGTAATTTTGTTTATTATGATATTTAACAAGTTACTTAATAAATTAATTCTTGGTGTGGAAGCTGTTCTTAAATATTTTCTGGATCGAAAGAGCCGTTCTCTCAGAATAGAAACATTGGGCCCAGAATAAGAAAATTAACTTTTTGCACTGGTTTTGTATTCCGAGTGAAACTGGAGAATTAGCAGGAGAGCAAGACTGGGACGATTATGAATTCCAAGTCTTCATTGAAGGATAGAACGCCAAACACTGACGAATGGGTATCTCGGGGGGGAGGGGGAGGGGGTTTATTACGTTTGCTTTGTCGGGAGTCAAATTTAAGCGGGTGTCACTTTTCTAGTCTAACTCTTCTTTTCAGTGTAAAACTGATCTTTTTGTAGAAGGATTATTAATTAAAAAGTACACGGGTGCGTGAATTGGAGTAAGGTTTATGAAGAGTTCAATCAGGTCGGCAAGTGACATTTAATATGAGGCCATCAATTCGAAGCTTCAACATCCCTCGAGGCCAGCCCTCAGATATTTGACTGTCGTGCGTGCCCCGGGGGTGGGGAATTTGAACCTTGCTTCGGTGGGGGTAGGAAAGCTGAACCAGGAGAATACACAATGAGTTTGAGGTAGAGTCTGATTCGTGAGCAAATGGCTTAGAATACAATTTTCACATTAAAAATGATACGTACCAGCGAAAAACCAAACAGCGGCACCAAAAAACTATTATGTGATTTACTAAATTTTACAACATTCGTTGATCACAAAAAGAATCGTTCAATAAAGACTTGTATACTAGTGGGGTATTTGAACACAAATTTTTCCCGGGGGTGGGGGGCGGGAATTTGAACGAACTATTCTTCAAAAATTTTAAATGCTCGGGGGGTTGCCGAAGGGGATGTTGAAGTTTCGAATTGATCGACCCATCACTAGTTGAGCGTGCACTTTGTTGGTAGTAAAGAAATGATTCAAATGAAACAGAGAGCAGTGATTCTTTCCTTTTGCTTTAAATCTGAAAAAAAAACATTCCCTGCACTGCTTAACGTGATTGTTACTAAGAACTATTCACTCTGCGCGCGTTATTCGAATATGTTGTCAGAATCTTGAGAGACTTTTCACTTCACTTACACAACAGCACTGCGTGTTAGTTTTAGAAAATCCTTTCTCATGTATTTTAGTGACACCGTTTGACGTCAACACGGCGTGTTTGCGGAGGAACTATGTGTGTTTGAACAAGTTATTTTAACGCTTTTTGCGTGGTTTGAGTACCCCATGACGAATAAATATATGACATTAGCTTCGTGACAGAAAAAAGAAAAAGTTTTTCAAATCGACGTAGACTAGTGACCTTTTCTTAACCAACATACATTACCAAATAATTTCTCGGTAGCTGAATCTTGAGAGTTACAAATTAGTTCTTCAACGTTTTAAGTGTTTTAACAATAAACTTAGGATATCACCGGGGCAACAAAGGTCTTATGAAAACCTTTGGGTGTTTACGAATATATCATGTTCGTCATTTGCCAGTGTGTAGTGAACTCAAAATTGTTAGTTATTCAAACCAGGTTTCTAGTATGGATTGTAGAAAAGTCCTCTAGTATTGGAAAACCACGAACTCTTCAACAAGAAATATCACATGGAAATTTTACATTCGAAGTATGATTTAGCCGAGTATTGCGACTGCAGTGACAAGAATATTGGATGTGTTTTCTCGAAATACTTTTGCTCCGGCGAATGTTACTGAGAGGTAAGTCCATATTGTAAATCGTTCAAACGCTCCTCTCGACAAGTTTCGAAAGAAGTTGATTTCCGCTTCTTCATTTTTTATCATGCTCATGTCCTGACCTTCAAACCCAAGTATATTGATGTTATTGCGTGTCAGCAGTCAATGGCGCTTTGAGGTTTTTTAGGCGCACGTGTAAATATTAGTAAATTAAAGACTAATGTATTGTGGCCTTTCATTTGTTTTTTAACAACTAGAGATTAACGCAAGTCGACTTAATGATAAAGTTTATTTTAAAATGAAAGTTGTTCGATCAATCGGGCCTTTTGTGTATTTTTTGAAATTGTTCTTTTTCCCACGCTTGCAATATTTGCGTTAAGCGTGGCCGTGCTTTAATTGGTGCAAAATCGACGCAAGGAAATCTGTTAGATTTTATACTTGGAGTAAAAAGTTTAATGTGATAGATTTGTGGCATAAAAGGTTCGCCAAGTTGGTTGCAATCATCTTCTCAAGGTCGTCTACAGTAAATATCAGAGCGCTCAAGTCTCAAGCATTGAGCATGAAACACTTAAAAGAATTTTGAAATCTTACGTTCTCAAGCTAAAACTATTATTTCTCACATATCTAAGCTTGCTGATCTATATTTAATTTTCGACTTTGCCATAGCAAATTGCTGCTTTACGTAAGTACCCATAAAATCAATTCTTGCTCAGAATAAAGGAATGCACGTCTTTACTACTTCAATTACCTACAATTTTGCGGGGAACCATGCTACCTCCCCCACTACCACCCAGTGAGGTGATGCCTACGGTGTCATGATTTAAGGCTATGCGGTTAGCAAATCCACCGGTGAGCTCTGACAATTGGGCATGTTGAACTTAATTTTCCGCGAGTTTGAAATTATTCAGAGTTACAAGTTTGCATGCGAACCGGCAGGTAATGGTCGGTTTCAAGTCTGGAAAGTGTCAGAGGTAAAGGCGGATTTTAAATTCATGTATTATAAAAAAAAGTCCAAAATTGCATTTTATAAAATTCTGTTACCATAACTTTGTTGCAGTTATATGTGAAGTGGGGTGGGGGGTGGGGGGAGGGAGAGAAAGGCATTTCTTCTTACAGAACACGAGAAACCATGCCTCTAAGCGAAGCCTCAGGAACTGTGTTCCTGCTAAGACTGGTCAACTGTTGCGAAAGCTTCTAAAGAAACTGCGGCAAAAAGCACCGGATTGACTTGACTAATCAACACAGATAACTTGAAGCAATAAACGTCCTGTAAAAAATTTGTTGACCTGAGATTCTACACTCTGAAAAGATTTCTACTCACTTGTAATCTCTTGTATTATGGTTATACTTTCTCGACCTAGTTTGGCCCCGCAAACGAAAAATCAATTGCGCGTCAGTCAAAACTTACCTCACCATTTCTGCGGAAGGTTAATCATGAGCATAGCTTGTGCGCTGTGGCTCATGACGAACAACACAAACATATGGCTGGCGAAATCTGCTTCCATTGTTTCAAGCGGCATTTATAGGGAACCCATCTCAAATGAAAAGGTACTCATGCATCTCGGCCGAGGAAGGCCTGGGCATAAGATTAATTCATGGTAGGAAATACCTATTGGTCAAATAAATTAGTTTTAATTTTTACAGTTGAGAGGGACATGGCAATTTGAGGAAAATCTCTCTTTTCTATAAACAACAGTGAATGAAATAAAATAGAAAAGTACACTTTGCAAGCCTGACAAGCCTCCTTTGTTTCGCATATAAATCAAAGCTGGTAAAATTTTCGGACTGTATGTAGTATATTTTCAGCGGTATTTGACCACTCGTATTTTTTAAAGAGATTAACTTTAAAAATTTATGCATTGAAAATAGTTTGGACGTCCTGGAATATTTTAGGAAAGAATTGGTGTAAAAAGAAAAAATTACAGTGAAAAAACAAAAAAAAAAAGAAAAATGCAAAAAATCGGCTCTCTACACACAGTAATTATTCTTTGCGTCACACGCGCGCAAATTAATTACTGCGTATCAGAGACGTAACAATGAAAAAGAACACATCAACTCGTTTCTCTGTTCAAGAAAGACGTACTTTTTCTTAAAGCAAGAAATTTCGATATATTTACATTTCTGAAATGGGTAACTGTCAATCTCGCATTTGTAGTTACAGCGAGTCAATTAGTGAGACTTCCGTCAAGAACTGTGCCTCAAAAAGAGGCCGAAAGTCAGACAAATACCTGCGCAGCCCATCTGAGTCCGTGAAAAGCACGAATTCAGAAAGCGGCTCCCAAAGTTCAAGTTCCTGTCCAAGTTCACTATTGACGCCTTTGGAGCGCTTGCAAAGAGCGAGACGCACCTGTAGGGATTTCAAGAGTCGATTGGAAGAGGCCTTGGCGAAATCAGAGAGAGTGGGACATACCGTGACTTCAGGGTCTGGAGAGGAATTATTCCTAAGCGCCTCAAAATGCGACAGCAAGAATAAATACCGCGAGGATGTGGAAGATAACAACAGTGCAAGCTCTGGCAGCGTTTCATCATTCCTGGCGCGGCTTCGAGGGTCGTTGGAGGACCTACGTCGGAATCCAGTATGTGGTTCTTCAGATGAGGAGTTCGACAGCGCCTTAGAGAAACTTACTGATTACTTACTCGACTGGCTTATTAGTGATCTAGCCTCATTTTCGCCTAGAATACTCAGTCCTGGAGAGGTACCTGACTCACTTGACCCGCAAATCGCGTCCCTGTTGCCAGAGGGAAGCATCGGTCACAACATTCCATCTCACTCGTCCTCAATCAGCCATCTTTTGTGTGGTCCTCCTTCGACTGGTACAGAAGCGAATCGAGCCACTAGCATCAGCGATAAGTCCCATTCTCTCACTCTGAGCCATCTTTACGATCCACCAACTCCAGTGCACCATAGAGCACCCGTTCGGTGTCATTCGGTAGAAGATTCAGTTGCAGTGGGATTGACGAGAACGATAATGTAGATGATTCAGCAGAGAGAAAACTCTCGTCTATGTGCACGGTTGCTCAGAGACTCCAAGGCTACTCAAGAAGAAATGCCCTTCGAAATGCTATCAGATCACTCGAGCACCTGTCGAGAAGCATTGACCGAATAACTTGTCATTCTCCAAGCGCCTTGCCTCCTTCTGAAAGACCCACGGGTGATTCCGCACAATTGTCCACTTCCAGCAACTCCAGTATCGTTGAGTCAACCAGTCTCAGAAACAGTCCCCCACGGAGATGGCTGAGCGCCTTGAGAAGGAGCCGCCGTACCTCTGCAAGGGTTTCGCCTTCTCCCTGCGACTCTGGTCCGGTAGAGTCAACCAATCCAGGCAACAATACCCCACGAAGTTGGCTGAGCGCCTTGTGAAGGAGCCCCCGTGCCTCTAGGAGAATTTCGCCTTCACCCGGAAAGGTGCAAAAAGTTGAGGTTCAATCTTACGATGGAGACAATGCCAAGATGTTTTGTAAACCGCAGCCATCACTCGCCGTTGACCCCATCATAGCGGAGGCTTCCGGTATTGAGCGCTGCCCCTGTGAACAAGCG